AGTCTCCAGCCCTGGTCCTGCAGCCCCAGTCCAGTTACTCTTATAGGTCACCTGAACCAGAGTCTCCAGCCCTGGTCCTGCAGCCCCAGTCCAGTTACTCTTATAGGTCACCTGAACCAGAGTCTCCAGCCCTGGTCCTGGAGAGATAGCCCTGATAAAGATGCACTGTTATTTGGTAATTTGCTCAGCACATCTGGCAGTGTAACACTCAGACACCCTGAAAGTGGATTCCCATCTGCGGTTCATTGTCCCTGTTGTGTAAAGTGAGTGAGCAACTTCCCCATCTTTAGCACAGTGGTCAGATTTCTGTCACAACTGCAGTTCTGTTCACTGGGTCCCAACAGAGGCTGATTGAAATGGAAATATCAAAAGGGGAAATTGACTAATCGATAGAGCAAGCCTCTATGATGCTCAGTGCAAGGCGAAATGTTCTAATTCCACATTAAGGGTCACCCTGTGACTGGTGTGGCCATGGCATGAGAATTACACAAGAATATCAGGCTTTCCTACTTCAATGACTTGCACAACATGTAGGGGTGTCCCTGCCAGAACATTTCCGATGCTGAGCTCAAACAGCACTGTCAGACCCAATGTGGATGATGACAGGTATCTACAGCACATGCAGTGATCTGAACGATTACCGAGCCTCGGTTTAGCTACAGAATAGCAGGAGGGGCTGTTACAAACTGATTAGAGCCAGGGACTTTTGCTACTCTCCTGTTTAGTAGATTGTGCGATTATTTAAGTCTGGTCAGACAAGCCCCAGAAAGTGAATCAGGATTTAAAATAAAATACTATCTGATGGGAGATTTGTGCTCCAAGACAGCAGAACGATGGATGGTTTTTATTTTGTCTTTAGCTCTTACTGTTTATTTTTATGGCTGAAGCAATCATAATGAAATGTCTGGATTAGAGGCTCAAGCGAACGCTGGGAGTGATCATTGCTGGAATCACTGCAGATAAATACAGCAGAGGCACAACCTGACTTGGCAAGGGGGAGGTGAGCAGTGTTATTCATTAACTATAATAGCGAAGTTGCTGGCAATGCGTCAGTCCCTACTGAGAGGTTTTAGGACACATTTATAAGTAAAAATAGCAGAGATCTAACAGGAGAAGAATTTGCAGGCTACCGGGTTCATACAGACTTTTCAACGAACTGTATATGCTTGTTCTGGAGCTATACTGGAGTGAGAGTAGTCTGTTTCAGCCAGGAAAGTACAGTATCAACCATCAGCACAGTGAACAGGCACTGATCACCTGCACACTCCAGCCTGCCATCTCATTCCAGAAAAGGGCATTCTCAACGGTGGAGACTTATCCTTAACAATAATGATATGGAGAAAACAATTGCTAGCTGACAGGACAGGTGAAAAAACAGTTTTCTAGATTTATGATAGGTTTATTTAGAGCCCACAAAATATATAGTGAATTTCAGAAGCCAGGGAATGAATTTGGTTAAAAAGGTAAAGTGATCATTTACAAAGTATATGACCATAGGTGGATATGTAGAGGCTATATTTCTAGCTATTAAAACAGTATATCAAATAAACTGTGAATAGTTTCATCTTTAATGTCTGGGCATTTACGATGCAAGTACATGGAGTAGATGTAATCACATTCTCTCCCTCAGAGCCAGCGCTCTGTCAGACTCCAGAGCTGCACAATCTGACCAAGGCGTTCAGTCTCTGCGGCTCTGCAGAGAGGAAATGGCAGGCTGAGTTGAACTTGAGACTCACCACAGCAGGAGGCAGAACCAGCTGCAGCCATTCCTGTCCTCTTTCTCTCGCTGCTCTCCTTCAGAAGGACAACTTTCTTTCTCACAGTGCACGGTGCAAGTTGACATCATCAGCGGTTCCAAAGTTTAATTCCTGGTGAGAAAATCCAGACTTATCTGCAAACTCCATGACAATGAGCTCCACGCCCTTGGAGTTACAAGCTCTGCAGATAACAAGAGGAGGTCAGGGTCAGACTGAGCCAGCTAGAAATTTAAGAGCAGAAGACTAAGAAAGGTTACAAACGAGAGGTCATTCACACGTTGAGCTTCTTTAGCAGTTAGTAACTAATTGATCCCATACAGCTGGGTCTTGAAAGAAACCAGGATATTAGTTTCAATAACATGGCTAAGCAGTTTGTACTTCCACTGAGTTTTCACTTGTGCCTTTTGGTTCACATTTCATTGTTCATCCTGAACAAATTCGCTGGGTTGTCTTTGTGAGTCTCTTTGAGAATTTCTAATACTATCAGGTCTCCTCACAGTCTTCTCTGTTCAAGACTAAAGAGACTCAGTTCCTCCAGCCTGAGAAATGGTCATGGGCTTGAAATAGTTCCCTATGCTATTCTACTCATTACAGAGTTTGAGGATTGTCCTTCTGCTTCAGCAGATTTAACAGTTATTAATCCCTCTACATGTGTGTTGTGGTCCGACAACAGAGGTTTTCTGTCATCCTTCAGGCGAGTTTGTAATAGAGATGTGAGGTGGGCTTCCAAGCAGGACTCTCAATCCATAATGGAGCTATAAAAGGTAACACTTCTGAAACAAGTCAAAAGGTTGCCATCAATTCCCCCTGTAACACACAGAGATTTAAAGGAAGCTTGCCTTGATCTCACCAGTAGAAGCTCTATTTCATCAACACTTTGACAGCCATCAATGTGCACAATTCCCTCTTACAGTGAGATCAATGTTAGTCCTAGTAAAAAAAAGGATGTATGTGAGTATTTAATACCAGTGAAATCTATCTTGGATCAAAGCATGTTCATGTCTGAACAACCGAGCAAGGGCCCCATGCCCTCTATATAGTGCTGACGCAGCTCTATGAAGCCCAATGCTCTATATAGTACTGAATCATGAAACTCAAACTCTAACTAAAACTCGATCATTAAGTTTGCGGACGATACAACAGTCATCGGCCTGATCACAAATGGTAAAGAGTCTGCGTACAGGGAGGAGGTTGAAACCCTGGCAGCATGGTGCCAGGAGAACAACCTCTCTCTGAACATCAGTAAGGAGATGATTGTGGACTATAGAAAACACCAGGGAAGAGATCACACACCTATCTACATCAATGGGACTGCAGTGGAGAGGGTCAGCAGTTTTAAATTCCTGGGAGTTAACGTCTCAGAGAACTTAACCTGGACCCACCACACCAACACTGTGGTCAAGACAGCACGGCAGCGCCTGTTCTTTCTCCGCAGGCTATAGAAGTTGGGCACGCCAACACATATCCAGGCCAGCTTCTACAGGTGCACTATTGAGAGCATCCCGACTGCTTGCATCACTGCCTGGTATGGGAACTGCTCTGCCCGGGATCGCAAAGTACTGCAGAGGGTGGTGAAGTCAGCGCAGCTCATTACCGGCTGTGAGCTACCGAACATCCAGGATGTCTACTCAGCTACAGTAGATCTCTTAGCAAGTCCAGGTCCATTCTCAAGGACCCCAGTCATCCCAGTCACAAAGTGTTTTCCCTCCTGCCATCCGGTAAATGGTACCGAAGCATTCGGTCCAAGTCCAACAGACTACGGAACAGCTTCTGCCTCCAGGCAATAAGACTGCTAAATAGCCAACCTGCAGCTCCTTTAGCAAATCACCTGTAATGGCTACATGGACACACAGGTTACACTGTATTCATCATACCGCACTACTTGTATATATTGCATACGCCATGGACACATAGCAGCTCTACTCATACTGAGTTTTATTCCATTTCTATTACATCTATTATTATGTAACCTTATTTTTGTCACCTTAATTTTGTGATTTTTGTGAGCTCGCAGAAAAGACATTTCATTGCCAGCAGCTACTGCTGCACGCGGTATTGTTGTGCATTTGATAAATAAACTTTGATTTGAATTGATCTGAAATCAGTGTTTTACAGGGGAGTACTCTCAGTTCAGGATATAGACCACGTGCCTTGAAGATAAGGTTCACGGTCCCTCATACTGGCACTCAGCCTAATTGGAGGAGACATTACCCCGTTAAAGTGCAAGACGCTTTGATTGAGAGAATTCATCCATCTATTCATCTTCTGACTGATGTCTCCATTACAGAGTCACAGGGGAGCTGGAGCCTATCCCAGAATCAGCATGCATTCACAGAATTTCAATTAACAAATTGCTGAACCAATGAAAGAATGACCACACACTTCTGAAGTGACTGCTATTTGCACAGGCTTCAGAAACTGGGTGTAGTAAGAATGAGAATAAGAAACGAGAGAACTCTGTCCAATCCAGCCTGCTTGGCAGTTATGAGCTAATAGATCCAATGATCCGATCATTCAACCCTTTCTTGAAAGAAACCGGGATATTGGTTTTGATAGCATGTTTGGATGGTGTAAGAGTGTGGAATTTCTAGCTGCCTATTCACCGGGCGGAGGTTCGACACCCCGGGGTGAGGTAGAGAGCCCATGCGTAGTCTCCCAGCCCGCGGGAAATAACGAACGGAGAGATCCTACGAGAGGGCAGAGAATTCTCTAGAGAGGAGAAAGCCTTCCAGCTGCTGTCAGGGTTCTGAGGCGAACACCAGGAGATCGCATGAGAATGAAATACAGGGTTTCTAATGAAGACCCCAGGTGGAGCTGGTATACATTCTCACGCGGAGTTAGGGAGGGGGCCTCTAGGGGTGCACAGCGGGAAATCCCTTCCCACTGTCGCAACAGCCTGTTCTAGACTCCCACCACCCTTCCTGTAGAGGAGTGCCTCCCGTGCCCAGTTTTCAGTGCACTTCCACACAGTTTCTGCTCGTGCCCTCTGGTGGGTGTGTCACTGTTCACGTTGAAGAAATCCACTGGGTTGTCGTGTCTTTGAGATTTTTGTATCAAGTCACCAGTCATCTCTGTTCAAGACTAAAAAGATCCATTTGTATAAGAATGTTACCCTATAAACCATGATAAAATTAGATTTTCCTCCATACGTTGTCGACATCTGAAACAGAATAAGAAAGCTGAGTAGGTATTGCTGCACTGTTCTATCCCGTGTCCAGTTTCTTTGTCCTCTCTGGACAGCCAGGTCTGTCTCTGTCCAGTGTCTATGGTCAGGTTGTGGTCACTGACCCTGTCCTCTCTGGACACTGAGGTCTGCCTGTGTCCAGTTTCTCTGTCTTCTCTGGACAGCCAGGTGGGTCTTTGTCTTGTCTTTTTGATCCTGGCAAGATATTCTGCTAAAGGAAATTCTTTTTTTAGTGTCTGGTCGCATTTAGAATTGTGTGTATTTTAATTTCACTGTCCCAATAAGATTTATATTTATTTTTTAGATTTAGCTTGGATTACTGCTGCAGGGATTTTGTTTTGGGATTTACTGTAGATCTCCTGTGCTGAACTCCAAAAGCATCCCCCCCTGAGAACAGAGGAGTTCTGCAGGGCTTCTGCAGGGGGTTATTCTAGGTATCTAACACTCACATAAAAAACAGTAGGCAATATCAAGGCTTCTGAAGGGCTTCTACAAGATAATATATTTACAGTCTACATTTCTAGATGTATTGTTTTCAGGTGACTAATATTTTTTCATATGCTTTTCTTTAAACATTTTCAAACTCCTGATGTTCTTTGTTTAAATGTCAAAGAAAATTGTTAATCACAGTCAATCTCAATTGTTTTGGTTCTGTGGCTTTCATGAGCTTTTTTGTGTTAACCGAGCTCAGAATAAAGCTCTGTAACACATAGGACACATATACTGTAGGAACACATAGGAATCCTGCATAAAGTTCACATTTTATTAAGCAGGTGCTGTTGCCTCTTAGGCTAAATGTTTTTCGAAAAATAGTTTTAAAGGGAAAACTTGACTTGTTTTCTGTCATAGGTAGCTCCCGCAGTTAATGCCCTGAGGTACAATCGGTATGGCCTTGTAACGATCAGTTCTTTCCGGACACTATGTGGACGACACGATCCAGGGAAAAGTGAAGAAACACGGGGAAAAAAAGTCATGCAGGATACGGGGATGAAAACAGGGGGCGTGTCCTTGGTGCGCTGGTGTTCGGGGGAGGTGTGGCCGAGGCAAACAATCCGGGAGAAAATCCAAAGGGGAATCCAGACGAAGGCAAAAGTCCAAAACCGGGCGGTCCATTCCAGACAAACAAGATTTAAAAAAACGGGAACCGGATCAGAAACCGGTGGGGGACAGGAACAGGAACAGAGAATAAAACCTTAACGAGACCAGGCGCTTCCAGGTCCCGGACTCGCCTGGTGTGGAAACCAGAGCAGAGCCTGGATTAGAGTGGGCACCTGGCTTTTAAGGAGGACTGAAAGGGGCTGGAACAGGGAGCAGGTGTGGGAGATGAGGTCAGAAGTGAAAGAGCCGGAGCGCCCTTAAGGGGGAGGGGCTACAATCGTGACAGGCCTACTGCTCTGAAAATTGTGAAAAGGCCTTTGCCTCAGCTGGTTTAGTATGGCTAAATTCCACTTGTTAATGAAATCATTTCTGCAATCAGCTAATTTAGAGCACAGTGAATTGCTCAAACAGCCTTCTGTTGGTCAAAAAAGAGCTCATGCCAGCCCTATCAGTGAAATGTGTTTTTCAACCCAGAGCTGTAGCAGGTTTGTTGGAGATAGGAGGTACAGTATCTGTTGAGCCCCGATTTCAGGACCATGATCAGCTCCATTTAGTGAACCACTGACTAAATCTAAAGGAGCAAAATTATAAAAGAAAGCAGTCATGTCCAACACATGGCAAAATATTGTAAAACATATACTGTGTAGATAAAACCTAAAAACAGTCCTGGATTTGAGAAATGTGTAGTATTTGTTTGACTTAGGTTGAATATAGTTTTAAATGAGGGTCTCCACGTACATACCTACTGTAAGAACACAAGAACAGTCACAGACAAGAGAAGGCCTATGAATCATCGAGCCTGTCTGGTAGTTAGTAGCTATTTGATCCCAGGACCTCATCCAGCTGTTTCTTGAATGAAGCCGAACAACATAACTGGGCAGCTTGTTCCCCGCTCCCACCACCCTTTGTATAAAAATCTGTTCTTGGCTTTAATGCACTTAATCTGTGTCAGTTTGTGCCCTCTGAGTTCCGCTAATCACTTTGAAAAAGGCCGCGTCGTGCCGGTGCCTTTGGTGATGACATATTCTGCGTCTATGATGCATCTATGATGAAATACAGTACCTCACCCCTCCTGCAGGGGGCACCCATGGTTAAAAACTCTGGACTTAGAGGGCTTGTGGAGTTAAAATGCTCCCTGCAGCACTCCCTGAGGTACAAAATTCAGGCTTCTACAGTACAATACCCAGCAGTGGAAATATACAGTCTGTAGACTGAATAACTGCATCAGCTAAATCAAGAATAATCTGTGAGGTTGTAAACTGTTATTGCTATCAGATGGCATGATATGGCATTTCCAAATAATTAGCAGAATTCCTCTGTCACACCCTCAGCTACCATTTATTTTTTAATAACCTCCCCCCAGGAAATATTCTATTTTCATAACTTCTGTACTAACAGCACCAGTCAGAACTCATCTCACTGGAAACTAAATTGCATTCAAAAAGGAACTTAGGAAAGCAGGAAGGACAGTGACGATGAGGATCATCACAGTGGTTACCGTTGCGTCCAGCGCCTGAGGGGTTAAGGCCGCCGCCGCGGCGCATGCGCAGACGCGCGCCGCTGCAGTGAGGCGCCCGGCCGCTCAGCTCGGAGCGCGAGCGACTGTGCGCGCGCGTGTCGCTGAGTCAGGGCGCGCCTCCTCGTGGACGTGTCAGAGGACATCCGTGAGTGTAGCATGTAATACCGGCCAAAAGCACCGCAGCGAAGCCATAACCGAATACCGAAGTGTCTTTGGCTATGTTTGTTTTTTAACCCCGGCGGAGAGAGATATTTCCCCATCCAATTTTTTTAATATCTAAGAATAAAAGCGCCACCTTGTCCTTTTGCCTTTCTCTGCTCGATCATGTCTAAGAATAGCAATGGGAAACCGGAGAGGCAGAGAAAAGGCAGCCAGGAGGACAACAGGGAGCACAGGAACCTCTCCTATCTGTTCTACCAAGCCGTGCGAGACCACAAGCCCGTGTGGATGCTGGAAGACATGCGGAATATGGAGATGTTTTACTGGGAGGAGGACGTCAGCCAGAGGTCGTACTCGCCCTCGGAGGCGCTGCTGTACGCTGTGGTCCATGACCACCATGCCTATGCCCACTATCTGCTGAGTCACTACCTGGAGAAGGCGCTGGAGATGCCAGGTCAGCGTTTCTGCTGCTGCGCGTCCTCGGCGCCGCACCTGGCCATGGCGGTGCGCTACGACCGGAGGGACATCCTGGCGCTCATTCTGCAGGTGGTGCACCGGCTGCCCAGCCTGCGGTCCTACGTGAACCGCCGGGACTGCTTCCACCTGGAGGACGGCAAGACCCCCCTGCACCTCGCCTGCGAGCTGCTGCGCTCCGAGGCCGTCGTCCTGCTGCTAGGCAACGGCGCGTCGCCGCACGCGGAGGACCACAAGGGCATGACCCCGCTGGACGTCATCCTGGAGCAGCTGTGCGACTCGAAGGTCAACCTCGGGCCCAAGAAGCTCTGCCTCGACAACCTGCTGATGTTCATGCCCGAGGTGCGCTTCAAGATGAAGGCGTCCCTGGAGCGGGAGCCCGCCTGCTGGACGAAAGTGCTCGGAGAGGATGTATTCACCTACCTCGTCGGGAAAACTCCGGCCCCGTTATTTCTCCTCTCTATGCAAAACATCCTGCGGCTGCTGCCCCCGGACAGGTTCCCGCAGAGCCTGCAGGAGCTGCCCATACCGAACGCACTGAAGCCCATCCCCGCCTCTTACAAAAAGCGAGGCCGCTACTAATGCGCTGTGAGCTGAGGATCAAGACGGTTTTAAAAAAAAACAAAACAGTTATTTATTACAGTCTTGGCATGGTGACTGGCGTTGTGTTTGCGGAGCATGAATGAATATTTGTCTTTTTATAGGAAATCACATTAAAAAACAAAAACGACTCAAAGAAGGCTGCCGACTAACCAACTCGCCGATCGGAAAGTATCGGTTGGTACTTTTAAAGCGTCTACAAACATCAGGTCTACAAAAAGCAATATTGTTTTACAGTGTTGAGGGATCATTTCTATTTATTAAGACTGCGATTTGCTGAGGGGCCTTAGCCTTTGGCATTGTCCTGGTGCAGCTAAATCTTTTTGACACAAATATCTAATGCAAGCATGATACATTTATTTTGTTATATGTTATCAATTCAATAGTGACTATGAAATATATATAAGGAAATAACGTAATCAATTCTTGACTATATTCAGGAGAATATACAGTACATCCAATCGTGTTGATTACTGACCTGTCTGCGCAGGGTTGCACCTTTGTGGCAGTATTTAATATCAATTTTGTAAACATTTCCATTTTCTAACATATTTTGAATATTTATGTTTT